ATATTTAAAATAAGCCTTATAAATATTTATAAACATTTATAAATATTTTATAATATTTTCTAAATATTTTGTGCTGTCTGGGAAGATGGGTTATCGAACGTTAGTGTCTCAAATATCTCTGTTTTTAAACGTTAGAATCGCCAATAATGTCAATTTATGCATCACTAATCATTTTTATTTTTTAAAATTAAATATGCAGTACAGAATATTGAAAAGATGTGAATATAATAAAAATAATTTTAATGACGTAAATAATATTAAGATAAAATCTTCATTTAATTTGCATTTTTCAAATCGAAAACAAGGATAGGAAATAACTAAATAGTACCTTCGACTCATACCATCGGGTGATCCGCCATTAAAAATACACGAGAATTTGACAATGCAGAATTCTCAAGGACGTATCCTTCGTATCCCACTTGTTCTAAAGAACTTTCGCATACCTTCAAGAATAGAGGTACTTCAAGTATGAACGTTAAATGACGCCATTGTAAGAGTTTTGCTTTCTTCTGAGCCGAGATAAAGGATAACTTATAAGGTATAATTTTATGCTGACACTCGACATTTGACCACGTTTTTATCAAAATAGGTTACGTGGTCAAAATTGATGAATATCAAGTGTCAATTTTCACGTGACCTGTTTAACGCTTAAAAATGAGCGTTAACATGAAAAGGGAGATGACTGTGGGAAAAAAATCATTTGGAAATACACTTAAACACATGTACCAATGGCACAATAATTCGCTTTATGTAACGAGGCATGCTTTTCTCTTCTCTTCTATTGGCCCATCTCTATACATAACCGAATCACCTGTTCCGCATTCAATGCGCCAATTAACATGCCTCGCGAGCAGAGCACACAACACGTACATTATCGTTTCCCGGAACATTATCAGTTGATATCTGTCGATCGAGTGGACGGATTTCCTGCAAATTCTTTTTTTGCAATCGTTTTATATCAAAGTTATCTTAGACTTTTCGCTGTAAGTTGCACTTTTCAATTTTAATTTCAATTTTAATTACAATAATGTGTGAGAGCACAGACATAAAGTGACACAGTGTTTAACACAATGCTTTCTAACGATACAATACGATTCACATGTATACTCAGACAAAATGTAATATTATATTTATAAAATATTTACAAAATATTTATAAATATTTGTAAGATTTATTTTAAATATCTTGTAAATATTTTTGTGGTCTTAGATTGAGTAGATCATAAACATTTATTATAAATATTATGAAATATTTATTGTAAATCTTGTAGTAAATGCTATGGAAATACTTAAAAAGACATTATAATTCCAATAAAAAATACTTACTAGAAATATTTATTTACTTTTATCATAAATATTACATTAAATATTTAGTCTATTTTTTAATAATATTTCGAATAATGCTTT